AAGTCTGTGACATTGATAGTTGGGACCACCAATAGGAAACACTATTTGAAGTGACACTGACAGTCAGAATGACTAATAGGAATAGACCAATAGAATTAGACTCTTAGGATATTATTGGATGAATATCCTAACATAACCACAAACGGATTTATTAGTCTGGATGAAAATGCCTTGCCATTTTTACTGTAGAAATTCTACCGAAAAAAACAACAAATTCAAACGTCTATTCTCCCATCCTCCAGTACGTTGACTCATGGAAAAATTTTTAATGTACTTTAGTGTCGAGCCCATTGGGCTCATTCCGGTCTTTGGTCAAATTAATTAGTCCACCTATTCTCCGGTTATTAATCACTTGTCTTTTGAACGAAAATTACAGAGTTACTCAGTCAAATCGGAAAACCATATCGTAAATCGTTCATTTGCAAAATATCAATTCATCATCATATGGAACTGGACTGTTCCTGTTGCCAAATATCAATCCATTGTCACTACTATTCATGCGTTTCATGCAAATTCCATTGTTTTCTAACTCTTCCTTTCTTGATCTTCCCTCATCTTCTGCTGCCAGACATTACGTTGACACTCACGTCATATACTACTTATAAGTAGCTCGCACCACAATACTTCATCGAAGGGAGTTGGCTCATTCGCCCTCTCCAGTTCGCTTTGCTTGTATGTTTGTTTTCATGATTATGTCTGCAAGAACGATTGCCTCAAATCAACTCACCGCCGCTGCTACCGCCACCTAAGTATAATATACAGAAACTGATCCGGGAAATTTATTGCATATCATACTCGTCGACCATTCATAAATCTCATGACCAGATCCGTAAGGCCATCAGAAAAAAAAATGATCACATACATTTTCGGCATCAAAATAATATACCGAATTCCAGTATTTACAAAACAGAAAAAATGCGGACGAATAAATGACTATTAGAACAACACAGATATATAAGCGAACAATATTGTTATTTTCGATTAGATCGTCATCAGGCTGCTTTACTCTCTCTAATATACATGAATATTTATGTATGAAAATGTGAAACCAATCAAGGCAATTTGAGTGACAATCGCAATGAAATAGGTAGAAGTACAAGTGGATAGTAGGAAGATAGGTGTACTGATAGTAGTAGGAAAATTATAAAATATAATAACTGAAGTTTTATCAATAGTAGGTCAATGGTGGATGAATAGACTTCAAATAATCATCATAGCACATCAAAACCATTACGTAATAAGCAAACGTGTAAAAATAAAATAAATAAAATATATATAATGTCAATCGTTAGTTACGTGATATCCGGCCGCGGAAGAAATAGGGGTGTCACGAATTTCTTCTGAACACATAAATTGCGGTTGAATGTACGTATTCCTATGGCTTCTGCTATGTATGTAGGAGACGGGATGGAACTCCGTTGGGAAATGATGGAGCTATACGATAGATCACCCGAAAAGATCTAGATTTATCTACAATGTGACCACTATCTACCAGGTGTGCTAAGATAGAGCTGCGTATTGTTTTTGACTGACCCTTCGTAAACCATGCTGGGAGCTGTTCACTCATTCATTCGTTGTGTAAGTTGCCTGGAAGTACGCATTTGCTTATTACGTAATGTTTTTGATGTTTTTTGATGATTATTTGAAGTCTATTCATCCACCATTGACCTACTATTGATAAAACTTTAGTTATTATATTTTATAATTTTCTTCCTACTACTATCAGTACACCTGTCTTCCTACTATCCACTGGTACTTCTGCCTGTAATATATGTAGTGACGTAATCTCTATTTCATTTCATTGTGATCATCGACTTAAACTGCCTTGATTGGTTTCACATTTTCATACATAAATATTCATGTATATTAGAGAGAGTAAAGCAGCCTGATGACGATCTAATTCAAAATAACAATATTGTTCGCTTTTTATCTGTGTTGTTCTAATTTTCATAATGGGAATCTTGAATAAATGTCTCACTTACTTGACAAAAATATTCTTCAGCTATTCGTTTAGCCCATTCAATACAAATCGATAATGGTCTGGTTGGATTATTGACATCGGAACATTTAATAATTAGACGTTTAATTAATGTTCTATTTTCTGCTGTTGATAAATTTTCCAACGTACTCGATATACGTTCTTGTCCAGGACTAGGTGAAGTGGAATGAGATATACCTATGGAACATGATTCCATCGAACTCATACTACCAACAGATGAACGATCATGATGCTGTATTAATAAAGAAAAGGTTTCAAAATGCTTTGAGATTATCATGTTTCTTTGTGAACATCTGACATACGTATATATTATAGAATGAGTTTGATGAATTGAAAATGGGGGTAATTCGATAAAACACACTACCGTAAATCGTAACTTCTGATTCAATTCTAGCCCTAATAAGGATCATTGATCGAAGTGAATCAGTCTAAGTCAATGATTGAAACTGTTGTAACGCTGCTACGTATAGCTCTTCAGTCCTAACGGCGTCCAATTAAAATATCCCAAAACGACCCAAAATGCTATTTCCAAATCTCCTAGATATCAGAACGCAACACCGTGGAAGGGAGTTGTTTATTGGGTCGAATAGAGAAGAAGAGGTAGGCAGGGGAAACGGAATTATTAAGTCTTTCAGATAGTGCGTATTTATACACTGAGGTCGAATAAGAAAAAGCATCAACGTCTGTGACATTGACAATTTAGGACGACAAATAGAAAAGAACATCTGAATGACATTGACAGTCCAGATGACCAATAAGAGGCAAAATTGAAGTGTTTGACCTTGACAGTTAGAACCATCATAATTTCGGCCAATAGAAATCGACCAATAGGATTGTACTTCTAAAAATAGTATTCTTAGGATATTTGGTGAATATCCTAACAGAAACCAACCATTAATCCTGAAGAAACTGATATTTCAGGTGAAATAGAGAACTACAAGTTTCAGCCTGTATTATCATTACTGTACTATTCTAGTAGCGATGAATATTCTATAGGACTGCTATATTCAACACATTGATCACGTGTTTACATCTTCCGTTACTACAGATTCATTCATACAATGAATTCATTCCTATATAGCCTTACCTTCCCTAAGAGCTTCCAACTTTGATAGTATCACACTTCGGTCAGATTAAAAAACATTGAATAGTGAAAATTGAAAAGTTATCGATTTCAAGTTCAAGTTTATTATTTTACGTTTACGAGTGGATATTTTCAACCACTCTCCTCCTATGTACTTAATTTTCACAATCTTTAAACAAATCGTAAATAGTAATGATTTGGAAATCGTACATTATAATGTGTATTTACACAAAGTTCTTCACTAAGTACCAATGACCTAGAGTGATGTACTAGCCAATCAACAAACTCTTCCAAGTTATAAAATAATCAATGGTTAAAATCCACAAATCATCAATCGAATAAATGCTTTCATCAAAATAATTAATACTTACAACACGACGAATTATTCCTTGTAGTGGAAGCGATAGGTTAAGTTCAACTATTAAAAGTCAGGGTAATATCATGAGAGAGAGAGAGAGGTTATGTTCCCAGTATAAAAGTTCATGACCAACTGAGGCCAGCTATCATGCAAAATGGTCAGGGTTAGGTATTTAAAAATGCAACTAAAATTCTGAGTTTCATTAAGTAAATTAGAATTAGGGACCTTAATCACCAGTTGACATTAGCTACGGATGTAATACTTTGTCATTCTAAGATTAACTAACATATAAATGACTTATAGATGAGATTTACAGGAAGAGTTTGAAAAGAAAGAACATTATCTGACTTCACTAAACACTCTTGAAAACGCTATCAATCTTAAACAAGTACTTTAGCTCAAGCAGCTCCTTAAATTCACTTTACTGTTTCTTAATAAAAATTTCCATTGATTTTCAGCATGTATAAGACCACATACATTGATGATTTTTTGTACTTCATCACCAATAACATGTCAATCGTTGCACGTTTTATGTTTCGCGAAAATTAAGTATGTTCTACAAACACCCAGCAAGTACAATGTATTCAAGCACACAAATCGCATTTATTTATACATCATAGAAACGTCCTTGGGACAGTTACGCAAAAATAGCACACTAAAATACGCAGCAACCAATCACAACCAAAGCTTTTCCTGGTGGGAAATGTGATCTCAAGGTCAACTGATCAGCCCATGCTCGGAAACGTGAAATCCAAAATTAAGGCATTTATCAAGTGCGTTCTGAGGATCTACTATCCCCAAAACAAAAAATAATAATAATAATAATATTATTAATAGTATACAGAGAGTAATTTACTTACTCGATTCTTTGCAATCATTGGTTTACTTAAAGTATTGACAAATTTTGTCACTATATCAAAATGTCGTACCATTTCAGTAGCTAACACCATATCAACAATATAACTACGCATTGTACGATATTCTTCTCTGTATTGTGTTAATCAATATAGGAAATAACAAAACATTAAATCGATAATCATACTCAGAATAACAATGATAGGTAATAATTCACTGAAATTCTATCTGTGACATTAAGAAGACAATTTATCATAATGATTTCAGTTGAATATCAGTAATAAGTGGGGCATTATGAAATATAAATGAGGAATTAGATAGATCCTAGAACTAGATCCTAGTTTTGTTATTCTCCAAGACGCTAAAATACATATTTGTGTGTGTGTAAGAGGCCAGATGCTACCTAAGTGCCCAAACCGAATCAGATGACTTTATTGCATGGCTATGACTAATATCTCTTATTACAGGGGTTGTGAAGATTGGTAAGGTACACATTTTTGAAACCATGAATCGATCAATGTTAGACCACCATTAGAAACCTGGAAGTACTGGACGGCCGTTTCGTCCTGGTATAGGGCTCCTCAGCAGTGCGCATCCACAACTCCTACACCCCGCAGGATGCGAACCCAGGACCTTTGGTCTTGCACGCGAACGCCTAACCATCGGACCACTGAGCCGGTATCTAACGGTGTTAATGTCTAACTTGATCAAATTCACGGAGTTGCGCAACCTCATACACAATCTTCGGTAGACACTGTCTACACCCGAACAAGTTAGACATTAACACTGCCAAATACCGGCTCAATGGTCTAACGGTTAGGGCGTTCGCGCACAATACCGAAGGTCTTGGGTTCGAATCCTGCGGGATGCAGGAGTCGTGGATGCACACTGCTGAGGAGCCCTATACCAGGACGAGACGGCCGTCCAGTAGTTCCAGGTTTCTAATGGTGGTCTAACATTGATCGGTTCATGGTTTCAAAAATGTGTAATACCTCTTACTTACAAGCCTATTGCATAAGGTAACGTAGCAACCTTAGGGGATGCAATTGTATGATAGTCGCTCACTAACAATAGATTCACAAACCATTTCTTTACGGACCTTAGCTGCTACCTTGACATCGTTGTGGCGCTTGCCTATTGTGATGACTCAGTTGAGCTCAGTTATGCATGTCCTACCATGCCAAACAGGTCGATTGGAGAAGAGTAAGACTAAAAACATCATCTCTAGGTCTAAGGACGAAGTTGTACTGCTGACTGTAAAGATGTGTTCACAGAAGTAGGGTTTTTCACTCGGACAACTAGCATCCACAGAGATACTGCTTGCTCACAAATAAGGAAGAGGTTATTCCCAAGGAAGATGACCTATTTTGAAGCTGCTGGATGTTTTAGATAATAATAAGTTAATTTTAAACTAACATTTTGATTTGAATATGATATTAATATGTTCAACTTTCGTCTGTTTATGATACTGTGTGAAAATTGTACAATGATTTCAGTGAACAACTGAAATACTCTCAAAATGAATAAACTCCTTTTTATTAGTTTTTGCTAGATTTCGCTGTCCATTGAACTAATCAAAAGCTGTGCACAACTCTTCTCAAGTAGAAGTTTAACTCCTACTGGAGTCCCTCTAGGTCTACTGCATGTGTCCTAAGCCTCGATGACGGAGGAAGGTCTGGTATGAGGTTAGCGACTCTCCATCCGGTAGAAAACTAACTCGCTAAAAAACCACCATCAGCACATCAGCACAGAGACGCTACTCTCAGTTCAATTCCAAGAGTGATAGTGATAGTAGAAGTATTAGCAGTAAAGGAGAAGATTAGGGAGCGTAAATATGATTCGAGAAGTATAATTCAGTAAGACAAATGTAGAAGGAGAAAGGTAGAGATTATGAGGAATTCAGAAGGTTAGAATTAGAGAGAACACAAAGAGTTGATGCACCTGCGCCACTGCAAACGATTTCGAGCCATGTCGTTCAAGGTCTCTAAACATTGGTGACTTTCATCTCGCCGAGCCCTACGAGGTAGCCCACATGTGCCAACATGACTCAGTCCACTTGTCACTGACTTCATGGATTTCTGCCATTTTTTGGTCTGGCCGTCCCTAGCTTTCTTCCAACCTACTCCTACACTGCAAAACATAGTTCGTCGCGACAGTCGGTGGTTAACCATACCCACATCAACCGAATCCTGCGTGTAACGGTAGTCGTGGATGTACACTGCTGATGAGTCCCATACCAGGACGAAACAACAGTCCCATGCTTTCAGGTTTCCATTAATGGTCTAACCATGATTGACTCATGATGTATGTTAACTATCCAACGTATTCATCAAATACATTCATTAAAAAACGTTTACAAACTATCTCGAGGATAATTGTGTCCATATTCAAACTATACTACTCTCATGATGGTTAGCACAGATTACCCCCAGCTGATGTGAGAAAGTATAACGTTTCTCAACCATTTTGTATGAGATTCTTGTCTGCGTATTTCATTCATTAGAGAATTATAGAGATCGTTAATTTATCATAGAAATCATGAATAAGTCATTGTTTGACGGCCAATAGAAATCTGAAAGCAGTGTGCAGCCGTTTAGTCCTGGTATGGAACTCATAAGCAGTGCGCATCCACATGACCTGCAAGTCAAAGGATTCGAAACCAGGATCTTCAGTCTTGCGCGAGAACACCTGACCCCAGGACCATTGGGCAGGCATCCGGCGTTACTTATGCCTAACTTTGATCAATCTGAGGTCTTTGTGGATGCTCACTGCTGAAAAGTCCCTTATTAGGATGAAACGAATGTGCGCTCACTAGTGACTGTCAGTTTTAGGCAGTTGCATGCTAAAGAAAAGGATAATTGTGACTAAATTCAAACATAACCATCATGGTGGTTAATGTAGATTATTCCAGTTCATTTGAGAAAGAATAATGATTCATAACTACTCTGTATGAAATTCTTGTTGGAATTTCGTAGGATAGGAAAACACTGTGGATGCTTCTTTGACACCACGGTGTGCCTGAGAAAATAGTTAACATCATATGGAATTCTTATGATGGATTCAACTGCAAAATCGTGCACAGAGGTCAGCTGACAGACTCTTTCGAGGTGAAGACTAGTGTCAGGCAAGGTTGCTTACTCTCACCCTTTCTCTTTCCCCTGGTCATCAATCGACTGGATTATGAAGACGTCAACATCTGGAGGGAAGCACGGTATCCAATGGACAGTTAGGACGCAGCTGGACGATCTGGACTTCGCAGATGACCTGGCTCTTCTATCTCACATGCAACAACAAATGCAAGAGAAGACGACCAGTGTAGCAGCAGCCTCTGCAGCAGTAGGTCTCAACATACATAAAGGATAAAGCAAAATTCTCTGATGCAACACAACATGTACCAACTAAATCACTCTTGATGGAGATGCCTTGGAGGACGTTAACACCTTTACATATCTGTGCAGCATCATTGACGAGAAAGGTGGATCCGATGCAGATGTGAGGGCGCCGATTAGCAAAGCAAGGGCTGCATTTCTACAGTTGAAAAATATCTGCAACTCCAAACAACTTTCAATCAAAACCAAAATCAGGATTCTCAATACAAATGTCAAGACAGTTCTACTGTATGGAGCAGAAACATGGAGAACTACCAAAGCCATCATCCAGAGGATACAAGTGGAGGAGGAAATCAGGAAGAAGCGGTGGAAGTGGATAGGACACACACATTGCGGAAAGCACCTAACTGCATCACGAGACAAGCCCTCACATGGAACCCTCAAGGGAAAAGGAAAAGAGGAAGGCCAATGAACACATTACGCTGAGAAATAGAGACAGACATGAGAGAAATGAAAAAAAGCTGGAAAGAACTGGAAATGGAAGCCTAGGACAGAGTTGGTTGGAGAAAACTGGTGGGCGGCCTATGCTTTGTTGAGGGTAACAGGCTTAAGTAAGTAAGTAAGTAAGTATGAAATTCTTGTTTACTTATTTTATTTTGTTATTAATAAACACGTAGAAAATATATATTAGCCTGTGATTATTTGAAATGTAGGTAAAGCGGCAGCGATCTGTATGTACACTTCGTCTTCTGATTGGGTACTGGGATTTGGTTGATTGTGATCAATTAGGTCTCGTGTGCTGTTACGACGGGTATGATAACGGATGTCACTTCACGGCTTCTCCTCATACAGTGGAAGGGTGTTCCTTAAGGGTACTGGGATCAGAAAGGCTTATGGACTCACAAGCATGAAGACCATGGTCACTTGTACATATTCATTGAGTAATTCGTCTAGAAAAGGTTATTGATCCCTCTTACGCTAACGTTTTCATATTCAGAAATGAAACGCACAGAAAATTGAGAATTTCTTGTATTATTGAATGTTATGAGATGAAAATATTTTTTACTGTAGTGAAAAGTATGACGTAAAATAGGCGGGTTTTAGAATTTCTATCGAATTTGTGAAAAAAATTCATTATTCCTAGAAGGATATTGATACCTGTATCTACCGCTGGTCTGTAATCAGTATGCCGTGCGTGAGTCAACCATTTCCATCGTCCCTTCCAAACGTTTTTATTGGCCAAAAGGTTTGGTGTTGTGAAAGTAGTAATCCCCACTTACACACAGAATTTTCCATAAATGTTCGATTGTATCGGAATATTTTTTTTTAAGGTGCAAAGGGATGCTCCCAAAAATATTTTCTGAAAAGGTGATTGTAATTGAATTCGTTCTCTCTACGCTGGATGTTATGATTGTGTAAAGCTTTCATTGTTCTAACCTAACCACCGATTGCCTCGTTGAGCCTTGATTTGTAGTGTAGGAGTAGGTTAGAAGAAAGTTAGGGGCGGCCAAAACAAAACATGGCACAAATCCATGAAGTCATTGACGAGTGGACAGAGTCATGTCGGTAATTGTCGACTACCTGGTCGGGGTCCGCGAGACGATAATAATCGATGGTTAGAGATCCTGAATGACATGGCTCAAAATCGTTCGCAATGGCGCAGGTGCATTTATTATTTGTGTTCTATCAAATCCTAATCTTCTGGATTCTTCAACACCTCTAGTTTTGACTTTCTAAACTTTTCTCATTGAATCATACTTCTTGAATAATATCTTCTAATCCTAACCTCTCCGACTACTTCTAATACCTTTACTACCTCTTCTACTATTGGATTTGAATTGACAATTACATTTCTGTGCTGATGTGGTATGGCGACATGAACTGATGTACTTACGTACGAAGTTCCACGTTGCATCTGACTGACTGACTAAGATAGGAAATAAAGTTTGTAAAAGTACATCCCAGCAATTTCTAAAACAATATCATCGCTTACCTTGTCAAATTTTGAAAAATATTAATATCTGGTGATCGGAGAGTTAATTCAAATGCAACAGCTGCATGATGACTTTCCAATACAGCACTTGAATAGAAAAAATAATACAATGAATCGATAATTTTAGCTTCAAATTTTGAATATTATATCATAAACAATAGAACCAACGTTTCAAAAAGCTACTTACTTTTTTAAATGTTCACTCTTGATGAAAATCCATCGTACACCTTAAATGTGTCTATAGATTTCGAAATATTATGTAGGATATCAAGATACCAGGTCAGTGAAGTATCACTGAACCCTAGGCGATACATGTGACAGGCAAGTCAATAAATATTGGACAGTTTGTCGATTTCCCTCAAGGTTCAGGCCAACCTAACCATATCGATCGACTACGTACCACAGGCAGATGCATGTTACACACTAGTCCCGCCTAGTATTTTTGTCAAATGTTAATACTAGTGAATGCTGTCACTTAGTTGTCGTGATAGCACAATCCAGGTTTTAGGAAAAAAACCCACAAGGTATGATGACTTCGATATACTACTCTAAGAGGTTGCACTACTCCCCAACAGATATGAGTAGGCCCGCAACTACTATCAAAACACAGATCACCTACGTGGGTGATGAACAAAGAGAACTAGCTAAGTTCACTGTGTTATTGACAGTATTGAATGGCGGTTTTTAAATTTAACCTTAGGAAAAGACTAAAAACTCGATCAATTTCTACATAATTTAAAAATGCGAAGGGAAGAGAAGAAACGCATACTTTAGTGATACTACACTTGTGTCCAATCACTGTACTTCATGTTGATATTCTATAAATTCCAATCGGCTGTGATTGGTTGGATGTTTATCACTCAAGCTTGTTGAAAGATATTTGAGGCTTCATGACAGTCACAATTATCGAAGGTAGTACAAGTACAAGTTTATTGTGGACAACAAGTGTTATGTAGCTTGGCTACACTGTTAAATAATTGTACGAATCCAGATAGGTAAATGGAGGTTCGAAATTACGACCTACTGGTTCAAAGATAGGTGGTACTTTAACTATTCAACTAACAACGTTGAAAGCATCATTTAGTTGGTTTCTACACAATATGAAAACTATGAACATACACTTGATCGGAACAATGATGAAGTACTGTATATTGTGAGCACATCGACACATCGACATTGATCCAATTTATCAGCCAGTTAGAAAAATCATAGACATACAGAGGATTAAGACACAGATCAAAAGAGAGCTACAATCAAAACTAAAGGTACAAACAACGTTAGGTTTAAGGTCAATAACAACCAATCATGATCGAGGTCAAAATAAAACAAGCTACGAGTCATACATGAAGAACTTCGAATACTTCACTTATACCTGAAGTTTGTCCCGACCGAAGCTGCTACCTTGACGTGGTGGTCGCGCATGACTATCGTGATGATTCAACCGAGCTATATAGGCTGAAACATATGTTCCTGAAGGTTCTACCATGCCAGGCAGGTCGATTGGAGAACGATCAGACTAAAAGCAGCTACTCAACGTCTGAGGGCGAAGTCACACTGCTGACTGCAGAGGGGTGTGACAGCAGTAAGGTGTTTCCCTCGGACAAATAGCATCTGCAACGATGCTGCCTTCACACAAGAAAGGAACGGTTAGAAAATGTCGACCCTAAAAATGTCACACCCCACCCTACCTCACGGATTTCCGTCTCCGTCGGTAAGGGTGCCCACTAGGGCTTTCAAGAGCAGAGCTAACACTCAAAAAACCTCTCATAAAAGGCCGTGCGTGACCGGCCTCAAGCAGTTGTCCCTTGGACTCTGCGGTCACGCTCCCAGGTCGTTAAGACCAACACTAATCTATCTTCCTTTTCAGGTCCCTCAAGAAACAACCTTCCACGGTGTGGGCATCCGGGAAGTGATAACCGCCCTCATACCCGTAACAGCACACAAGACCAAATCAGTCAAAATCAACTGACTGACTGACCTGAAGTTTGTGCTGTAGATGTTGTTGTTCAGACGAACAATGAACGTTTTGCACTGTAGTGCCTCTACATATGTTCCAGTTTGCTTAAATTTAATTTAGTTAAGCCCTTTCGATTAATTATTTAACCAAGTCATTCGCATAGTAATAACTTACGTGTACCATTCGCTTTTAATATTGTCTGGTTTCTATGACCTGGTACGACTGAACAAACGCTTACTCATCCTTTTCACTTTAATCTTAATCTCTTAATATCCCTATGAGCTCACATGACTTGTCTCGCTTGCTTTTTGACCTTGTCAATCATTCGTCGCTTTTATTCACGTGTGTGCATGCCTATTTCGCTTGTCACATGTCTGTCTTACTTTTGTCTGACTATATATTCTTAGTCATGCTCTATCTCTTGGAGTTGGTTCATTAGCCTTCTCTAACGCGCTTCACCTGTTCATTCGCTGCTTATCCGCTTCGCTTTGTGATGTGTCCCAAATAAACGTATTCAACATTACGAGTTCACCTTCTGATTAAATAAACCGTCAGATGCTAGTTAATAACGATTGTCTGGACGAGCTAATTACACCGAGCTTAAGAACACACAGCACAACCAAAACATACAGCTTACAAAGAATGAAACTCCAACACAATCACCCCACCTGAGCTACACATGTTCTCAAGGTCAAATCATCCCACAACAAATTGATCACAAAAATAAGTCTTCTATAATAAAAAAATAATTAAAATTTCGATTCAATACTTACATATCATTGTACAATATGGCCAATGGATCATTACTATTCACAAGAAATGGACTTGTTTTACCTGGATGATCGACATCATGAATGATAGCAGCCAACAATGTTGCGATTTCATCGATATTTGTGTATATTGACTGGAGGTAGCAGGGATAGAGAGAGAGAGAGAGAGAGAGTTAGTTATTAGCGAATAACAATGAAAAAAGGCAGTCCTTTTTTACACACACACACAATAATGTTATCAACGATTTTAAATCAAAAACAAGTTGATTATATCAGGAAGTAGTTAACAATGCTGCCTAATTAAAGAGTGAGTTAAATTTAATAAACCTTTCTTGATTCATTAAAAGTGAATACCTGGATACTTTCAGTCAGTCAGTCAGTTGCAACGTAGAACTTCGTACGTATGTACATAAGTTCATGTTGCCATACCACATTAGCACGGAGACGCAAATGGCAAATCAAATCCCATAGTGTTAAAGATAGTAGGGGTATTGATGGTAATCAAGAAGATTAGGGTTTGAAGATAATAATATTCAAGAAGTATAATTCAGTAAGATAAGGTTAGAAAGACAAAGGTAGAGGTGCCGACGATTCCAGAAGATTAGGATTTGAGAGAGCTCAAAGAATAGATGCACTTGCGCCACTGCAAACGATTTCGTTCAAAGTCTCTAACCATTGGTGACTTTCGTCTCGCGGACCCCAACCAGGTAGTCTACATCTACAAACATGACTCAGTCCACTAGTCACTGACTTCCTGAATTTCTGCCATGTTTTGGTCTGGCAACCCCTACCTTTCTTCCAACCTACTCCTACACCACAAAACATAACTCGTCGAGGCAGTCGATGGTTAGCCATACGTAACACATGTCCTAACCACCTCAACTGATGAAGTTTTATTTCTTCATCTATTGACCTGCCATCGTTACCTAGTACTCGTTTCCTAACGACAGTATTGCTTACTCGGTTGTCCCACGATATACTAGCGATGCTTCTTAAACATCTATGATCGAATACTAGTAACCTACGAACATCTACTCTTAACGGCCATGTTTCACAGCCATATAGGAGAACGGAGCGAACTGCTGCGCAGTACACACGTCCTTTGGTTAGCGAACGGATATCACGCCTACGCCATAAGTGACGCAGGTTGGCAAAAGCCAATCGAGCCTTCTCTTTAGTAACGTAAGAAGCTATTGTCATCCTTTGTATAAACTTTTACGTATGAAATACTGTCGATTATTCATTCCAATTTTAGTAAACTAAGAACTTATTTTTTCGTTAAATAATCCTAAATTTGACTTTGTATCGGAAATAGTTTTCTTTCAATAAATTCTTAAAAATTTACTGAAACTAATCAATATGTCGTTCAGACTAGATACGGGGGTGATAATATTCTATTGCCTGTGAATAATAGCTATCAGTGAAATTCAGAACGTGCTTTTTGCCCTGTTTGTCACTAGTCGTCTGGATATATCCGATTCGTAGAGTTGATGATCATTCTGATATTAAAACCAAGTACTGATCATTTTACTGCAACCACATTATCATTGTGCTCAATTACCTTTCTAGTTAGTTTCTGCATAATTTCGAATTACATGGGAATCGAGGAGATGTAACAGTATGCATGAGTCAACTTCCTTCTAGTTTATACAAAGTTACTTATGCTAGTTAACCAGGATCCTCAAAAAGCCACTCTATCCTCCGCCCTCCTTTTCAGTTCTTCCCAATCACTATTCATACTTTTCATGTCTGCCTGCAATCGCCAGTCGAATGTGTTATTTCATCTGACTCTTCGCAATCAACTTTGAGAATTTAATGCTGCGCTTCGCCTTGTCACACATTTTTGGGCATCTTTACAACGTGTGTCCTATCCACCTTCATCTCTCTTCCCTGATTCCTTCCTAAGACAAAAGCTGGTTTGTTCTCTTCTATAGTGGATTATTGTCAATGATGTGTTGACAATGAATCCGAAGTAACTGTCAATAAATGCCTTTATCATTTAAATGATGATGGGATTAGTTAGCAGTAGGCATTCATAACCCTCACATAAGCGGATCGAACCTAGGGCCTTCGGTTGTGTATGCATCCAGTAGTGTTAGTGTCGGACTTCAATCAACCTCTTCATGACTACAGTATAACAGCAGATCCTCTGAAGCTAGTCTCAGATGCCCTACCTGTGTCCAATGCGTTTCACTGATGCTGAGCACCTCGAGGTTGTATCTTTTCATTTATGCAGCAACTTGAAATAGTCTTCCAGTCTCCCACAATGTACGAACATTCCATGTACCTAAAAGAATGGTTGCTCTGATTGTCAGAAGAGGCATCGACCCCGTGACTTTCGAGGGAAGTCGGCTTTCATCACGCGACGTCATAATTCTTCTTCCAACTCCCATGGCGAAGTTAAAATGGTTCGGATTATTTTTTCTGGTTAGCGTTTTTTTGGCAAGTGAGATTTCAACGGAATGGGGTCGCCAACCCCATGTCCAACCCTCCTCCTTTATCTGGGCTTGGGACCGGCAGTAGCCCCGAAGAGTGATGTCGTGCAACCCTCATCCATTACCAGCGATAAATAACTGTCCCTTACGCGACACAAATTCAACTCCACTGGTCACAATTTATGACTAGAACTCCAAGAATACTCCATGAAGATAGTTAGCAGTGGGAGCATAAATGAAGGGAACTTGTGGAGACCATATTATTTCCGTATATGTGACCAATGAAGTTCGGTCTGTGTCGCAAGCAATGAATTAAGTTTGCGCGACATCACAGGTATTTCAGCTGTCCATTGTATTTCATGCTTCCCCTGAGGTGTTGAGCTATTCATAATCCAATCAACCACCCAGAAACGAGAGAAACGGTGAGACAATAATCCTACTGGATCTCAACTTAATGGTCTGAAGACTAAGCGTTTATACACGAGAATGGATGCCCTGGTTGGGTTAGGGTCACAGGCGTACACTGCTAGATTCTCCCATATTAGGAGGAAACGGTCGTTCAGTGTTTTCAGGCTTCTAGGTAGTCATCTAGCTTAGATCATTACATCATTTCATCCGTGAAACAGAATTTCATTATCAATAACCAAAATGTATCAAAATCATAAAACTTACCCTGATTAAATCGTGTTGTAAAAAGTAAGCCGATGCTTGTAACACATCACTTGCATGTGTAGCATTATGATATGGATTATCGACATGATAATGTTCTTCCATGACAGTTAACCAACCAACTAAAATTTGACTAGGTACACGTAATACATCCAGCGCATTGAAATTATTCAATATTTTCATGCCTAAATATGTTAATGGTCTAAAAGAAAACAATAATATGGCGGGGGAAAACATGTCGTTAGTGGTCAGTTGATAAAGTAAGGATTATATTTAATATAAACTTGACTCCAACCTCAAGCACGGATCAATGAGGAGGGTTGGTCATGGGGTTGGCATCCTCATCTTGTAGAAAATTAACTTGCTAACGAAAACACCAATCAGAAGAAATAATTTAAACTATTGAAACTGTTGTGTCTTGGCAGTTACTTACTTACTTACTTACGCCTGTTACCCCCAATCGAGCATAGGCCACCCATCAGTTTTCTCCAACCAAATCTGTCTTGGGCTTCACTCTCCAATTCTGTCCAATGTTTGTTCATTCCTCTCATATATTTCTCTATTTATCGGCGTAGTGTGTTCTATACCCTTCCTCTTTTCCTTTTGCCTTGAGGGTTCCATGTGAAGGCTTGTCTCGTGACGCAGTTAGGTGCTTTCCGTAGTGCGTGTCCTATCCACTTCCACCACTTCTTCCTTATTTCCTCCTCCACTGAAGGAATCTGGTTTGCTCTCTCCAACAGTACGTTGTTGCTGATGGTGTCTGACCAACGAATCCGAAGTATTTTGCGTAGACAACTGTTAATAAACACTTGTATCTTCTGGATGATGGCTTTGGTAGTTCTCCATGTTTCCGCTCCATACAGTAGAAGTGTCTTCACATTTGTATTGAAAATCCTGATTTTGGTTTTAGTTGAAAGTTGTTTGAAGTTCCAGTCCTGGCAGTTAGAATGTGTTCGATTAGAAAAGATATGACGTTTCATAGTCAGTCAGTTACAACGTACCACTGCCTATGTACGTACATTGGCACAAAGATGCAATTGTAGAAGTATCACCGGCAATGGAGAAGATTAGAATCCGAGGATATTATTCAAAAAGTAGTATCTGGTGAAATAAATTTACGAACAGTAGAACTGTCTTGACATTTGTATTGAAAATCCTGATTTCGGTTTTGGTTGAAAGTTGTTTGGAGTTCCAGATATTTTTCAACATCGATTAACGTCATTCTTTTATCAAACATTTCCTTATTTGTTTTATCTGTTGAACTCGCAAGCAAGGCCTACATTTCTAGTTTTCTAAATGTTCAAACACTGTCTAACTTAGGTCTGTTTGTTGTCTGGATAAGATTCAATAATGAAGTAGTGAATTTTCATCAGTTTAATTGGTTAGGATTCGAGGATATTATTCAAGAAGTAGAATCTAGTGAAATAAATTTACGAATAGAAAGATAGATGTGATGAGGAATTCAGAGGATTAGAATTTGAAAGAACACAAAGAGTGAATGCACCTGCACCAATGCAAACGATTTTGAGCCATGTCATTCAAGGCCTGTAACAATCGGTTACATAGTCGCACGAATCTCAACCAAGTAGTCTACACTTACCAACATGTATCATTCCTGTTGCCTGACGTTGCATAACTCCACCTCAAGCGCCTCTCGGGCTATTGCCTGTCCCAAGCCCAGATAAAGGAACAGGGTTGGTCACGGGTTAGTGATCCGATTCTGTAGATGACTAACTTTCTAAAAAATGCTCTATCGAGAAAAAATAATTTAGAACACTTAAACTCTGTCTTGGGAGTCCGAAGGTTTTCATTTTGAAGATTTAAGACGTCACAGGATGAAAACCGAGTCCCTTCTGAATTCACAAGTCCAATGTCTCTTCTGACAACTAGAACAGCATTTTATGTAGGTATATGGAATGTTTGCACAATGAATTAGACCGAAGAAACCATTTAGGTTGCTGAGGAAACGACAAGATACAGCCTTTCGCACTCTCATTAAGTGAAACACCTTAGATGCAGGTTGGACAATAACGACTAGCTTCAGGGGACAGCTGCTGTTTTATTACGGCCATGAAAAAGAGACGCGCTGATGCTATCCAAAGAAAACCCAAAAGCACTTATAGAATGAGAATCTCATGGACACAGGATCATGAAAGCTTCCTTCAAAACAAAGAATGAGCGGATTACATAGAACGTCAGGATCACCAGTTTTATGGCGTCGGACTTTCTCTATCTCCTAAATTCCATATATCTCCGTCTTGACGACCGTTACTATAATACAGTGCTGTGCCACCACTAACGATAACAATGATGATGTTAAAGGTCGATTCTATGAGAGGCTGCAGTCATTTGTCAAGAGATAGCTAACGAAGTATTTGATCGTTCCGATGGGAGACCCACACGCCAAGATTGGAATGGAAAACTCTGAATATGATAACATCATAGGACGATATAGACTGAAAGAAAGGAACGAAAACGGCGAGAAATTTGCAAATCAGTGTGTATTCAACAAAATGGTTATGGATAGGACCATATCTTCATACAAGCGCATTCAAAAAGCTACGTGGGTAACCGAATCGACCACATCTGAATCAATAGAAAACTCAAACGGACCATAGACGACATGAGAACCAACAGAGGAGCTGACACAACTTCAGACCACCACTTGGTAGTAGTCAAGAGACAAAAGAGAACCAAAGAAGCTCTGAACTACTGGGTGAAAAGCAGTACAAAGTTTTATTACAGCGTTTTTTCAGGATACTGGCAAACCCAACGAACTCAAGAAAGCTCTCAGCAATAAGTCCCAAGCCTTTTACGATCTTCTCAATAAAGAGTAAACTACCCTGAAGAATAGCTAGGCGGCGATGGAAGAAACAACACATTTACACTGTCACGAAGTTTAAGGTCTCACGGAACACCATCACAAGAAATGACTCTAACTATACAAATAAATATAATAATTGTTTATAATGACAATATTTTCAATATAAAAACGTTTTACTCAAATAAATTACTTTTTATCAGTTATACGTTCAAGATCGAATATATTAAAGCTCCATTTATCAAAATTCATAAGACAAGCTTCAATTTCTGGATTGGTTTGTAAAGTTGACAATGTTGGTGAATCGTTTTCTGATCCTGAAATATATACAAAAATTCAGTTTGTATAGAATTGTTCTCAACAAATTGTTATCATCAGGCTACACAGTTCCTAATCAGTGTGTTATTTTACACACTGGCTAAATAAATTGACGCATTACAGTTAAAGGAACAATGAACTCTAGAGAACATCATTCTGAAAAAGATGAGGCTTTTTCGGTACTGTATCAAATTCCATAAAATTTAACTGAAGGAGTTCAATTAGTTAACATCATACGGAATTCTTATGATGGATTCAACTGTAAAATCGTACACGGGGGGACAGCTAACAGACTCGTTTGAGGTGAAGACCGGTGTCAGGCAAGGTTGCTTACTCTCACCCTTTCTCTTTCTCCTGGTCATCAATCGACTGGATTATGAAGACGTCGACGTCTGGAGCGAAGCACGGTATAAACTGGACAATTAGGACGCAGCTGGACGATCTGGACTTCGCAGATGACCTGGCTATTCTATCGCACACTCAACAACAAATGCAAGATAAGACGATCAGTGTAGCAGCAGCCTCTGCAGCAGCAGTAGGTCTCAAAATACATAAAGGAAAAAGCAAAATTCTCCGATGCAACACAAAATGCACTAACCAAATCACTATTGATGGACTTGCCTTGGAGAACTTTAACACCTTTACATATCTTGGCAGCATCATCGACGAGAAAGGTGGATCCGATGCAGCAGATGTGAGGGCGAGGATCAGCAAAGCAAGGGCTGCATTTCTACAGTTGAAAAATATCTGGAACTCCAAACAACTTTCAAACAAAACCAAAATCAGCATTTTCAATACAAATGTCAAGACAGTTCTATTGTATGGAGCGGAGACTTGGCGAACTACGAAAGGCATCATCCATTAGATACAAGTGTTTATTAACAGTTGTCTACGCAGAATACTTCGGATTCGTTGGCCAGACACACCATCAGCAACAAAGAACTGTTGGAGAGAACAAACCAGATTCCAGTGGAGGAAAGCACCTAACTGCGTCACGAGACAAGCCCTCACACAAAACCCTCGTGGCAAAAGGAAAAGAGGAAGGCCAAGGAACACACTACGCCGAGAAATAGAGAAAGATATGAGAGTAATGAACAAACATTGGACAGAATTGGAGAGTGAAGCCCAAGACAGAGTTGGTTGGAGACAACTGGTGGGCAGCCTATGCTCCATTGGGGGTAACAGGCGTAAGTAAGTAGGTATGTAAGTTCAATTATGACTTTATATATATGAACCTAAAACAGGGATGTTCAGAGTCATTTTAATTAAATATGCAAACAAATGCTAAGTGAAATGGATAACAGTAAAGTCTAGCACGCACACTTCATCCTATTTGAGATACGTCAGCTGGATTTATCTATATTCTATACTTCATGTTCTCTCAGGCATTCAAAGCCAATACCGTTTTCTTCAGGCGCCATTGTGTTATCCATTATTGTCATTGAGTCCGGATGGGTGTTTACTTATTCAGCATAGGCGGTCGACCAGCATTCTCCAACCAACTGTGTTACCTGTGCGTTCTTTACCATTTCTGTCCAATGGTTGTTCGTTCTTCTCATGCCCATCTCCATCTCTCAGCGTAATGTGTTCCTTTACCTTCGGCTTTGAGAATTCCAGATGAGAGCTTGTTCTGTGACGCAGTTGCATACTTTTCGCAATGTATTTCCTATCCACTTCCAGTGCTTCTGATAAGTTCGTCACTTAGTATGCTTGAGGCTATTACGAGTTTACCTTAGTCGATAAACGCGAACGAGACTTTTACCAGCTTCCAGGGAGGCTACCTTGAATGCCCAAAATCGGAATAGAAGGCTTTGTAAGCGTAGGAAGTATATTCTACAAACACCCAGCAATCACAGTACAATCAAGCATGCAACTCTCGTTTATTTATACAACATAAGAACGTCCTTGAGACAGTTAAGAAAATAGCATACTAAAATACACAGCAGCCAATCACAGCCATGGATTTTCTGGTGGGAATTGAAATCTCAAGGTCATCTGATCAGCCCATGCTGGCAAAACGTGAAAACCAAAATACGGCATTATCAAGCGAATTTTGGGGATCTAACATCCCCAACAGCTTCTTCCTAATTTATTTCCACTCATAGTAGGTTCTTGCTGATATTGTCTGACAGAGTAATTACTCCTTTTCTACCTGAGTTACTATTTTAAAGCTGTTCAATCTTTTCAAACATCATCAGCTTATAACTTTGGTTTGTTTTATACAAAAGTGTGCGTGTGCCGTTTACTTCGATTCGTACGTATCTAGCTTATTACTGTCTAACTAAGAATACTTAGTCATGCCTGATGGCTTTGCACGGGATTGTCCGACTGGTCCACTTCTCTTCACTTCGCTTGTACACTTTTTATTCTCAAGTCCGTCTGCAAGAGCGATAGTATAAAACAGACTTGTCCAGGCAAATCCCTGTTTGGCTTCTTATTACAAACCGTTGCACTATAACAGGGTTCGCCTACGTAGGAAGATCTATTCCATACCATATACTTAGGTGCTCATGAATATCGGAGCCAGATTGAGGGGCCAGTAAAGTGTTGAGCCCTTTGTCGAGTTCAACGCAACCACAAAAACTCATTGGCTTTGACAAAGAAACATACAACCTATTGCAACGTTATTATTGTTAGGTTCGTCACTAGGTATGCTTGAAACTATGACGGGTTCACCTTAGTCGAAAAACGAGAACGAGACAATAAACCAGAGTCCAGGTAGGCTACCTTGATCCGTCGACTAACCAAAAGTCTTGATATCTGTAGGGTTCGTCACTTAGTATGCTTGAGGCCATTACGAGTTTAACTTAGTCGATAAAAGCGAACGAGACAATTACCAGCGTCCAGGGAGGCTACCTTGAATCCCCAAAGCGAGTAGAAAGACTTTGTAAGCGTAGAAAGTATATTCTACAAACACCCAGCAATCACAGTACAATCAAGCATACAACTCTCGTTTATTTATACAACATAGGAACGTCCTTGAGAAAGCTAAGAAAATAGAACACTTAAATACACAGTAACCAATCACAGCCAAGGATTTTCTGGTGGGAAGTGAAATCTCAAGGTCAACTGATCAGCCCTTGCTCGCAAAAATGAGATCCAAAATTAAAGCATTTATCAAGCGAGTTCTGGGTTTATCTAACGTCCCCAACAGTTATACATTGGCCAGCTTAAACATAGGCAGTGCGGCTGTAAACCACATTCCTTCACATTCACTCTCTAAATATACACGTTGACGAGTTACACTGGAATTTATGCACAAAATATATGATGGGTGCAAATGAACAAAAGATAATCACACCAACTAAGACGATAGAAAACATTGTCAATCGATATTCAATTAAATAAGGTTATTGAACCTTGGCAATTTAGAAATTTACATCTGTTCAGCATTACTGCGCTGATAATTTCTGATTAACACAAAGTTGATTTTACTTAGACTCTTGATTAAGAGATAAGAGAGATAATTCTGATATGAATAGAAGTTACATTATCCAAGATCTTCAGAAAACAGTTCACAAATGCACCTTTGTGAAGATCAAGTTGTCTACATTACCAATATTAGGATATTCATCCAATATCCTAAGAGAATTATTGGTCAATTTCTATTGGTTAATTCCTACTAGCCAATTTTATGGTCGTCCTGACTATCAGTGTCACTTAATCCAATGTTGTTTCTTTTTGGTCGTCCTGAATATCAGTGTCACTTCAAATGTTGTTTCCTATTGGTCGTCTTAAGTGTCAATGTCACAGACTTCGATGCTGTTTCCTATTCGACCTAAATGTATAAATACGCATTATCTGTGACGTTTTATGACCCGGGCCTGGACCCGGATCCCTAGTCCGGGATCCTGATTCTCTTATGGACTCGGACCTCGTACTTTCTGGATGTTTGTAGAATACAGGTTCTACTTCATATCAAGTCTTTCTATTTCATTCAATGGGGGTTCGGACACTCGGATTAGAGTAGCCTATCGTGTCGTCGGACCCTCGATTCTCACTCTCGTTTTTCGACTAAGGTAAACTTGTAAAAAATAGTTCAAGCCTTTCATAATGACATGTTTACGTTTAGGCGTAAAAAACCAAGTCATAGATTAGTGACTAGTTAGTTACACGTACTATTTGTGAAAATAAAATAAGTAGAACTATATATATCACGATTATTCCACTAAAAATATGAATCTGTTTTTCTTACCTTTTAAAGATTTAGCTAAAGTTCGAAGTCTGAGTAAATTCTCTGGTTCTCTGGCCAAGTTCGACCCCTAATGATAATAATATTAGTAATAATAAAGCATAATGTTGACAAATTCACTTTACTATATAATAATAATAATGATACTTATAGTGTAGTGAACTAGAACACAGGTGGGGTAACCGAATTGTATTTAACGAAAATTACAGAGTTACTCAGTAAAATTGGAAAATCATATCGTAAATCGTTCATTTGCAAAATATCAGTCCATCATCATATCGAACTGGACTGTTCCTGTTGCAAATATCAATCCATTGTGACTATTCATGCGTTTCATACAAATTCCATTGTGTTCTAACTCTTCCTCCTTTCTTGATCTTCCCCCATCTTCTGCTTCCAGACATTACGTTGACACTCACGTCACATACTACTTATAAGTAGCGCGCACCACAATAGTAGTAATTACGTTATCATGTTTCATAACAAACATACTATATAAAAATATTTTGTTATGTCATATGTACGTGTGTATGTATGTACTATGTAATGGGTAGTTGATTGCATCCAAAATCGTAATTTGTAAACACAATAAAAACGGATGAACTTGATTTCATAGTCCTTAGAAGAAGAGATTGAACCGAAAAACTCGAAGCCATTCTCTTAATACTATTCGACGACTGATACTAGGCATTAAATGACAAATCAATCAATCACTCAATAGCAATGTAGAACTTTGCATGTAAGTACAACAGTTCAAGTTGACATACCACATTAGCACAGGGAGATATAATTGTCAATTCAAATACCCCCATAGTAGTAGAGGTAGTAAAAGTATCAGAAGTAATCGGAGAGATAAGGGTTCGAAGATGTTATTCAAGAAGCAGAATCTAATGAAATAGACTTAAAATGAAAAAGATAAAGTGATGAGGAATTTAAAAAGTTAGGATTTGAAAGAAGACAAAGAATAAATGCACCGGCGCCATTGCAAACGGTTTTGAGCCATGTCATTCAAGGTCTCTAACCAACAATTATTATCATCTCGTGGACCTCAACCAGGTAGTCGACACCTACTAATATCACTCAGTCAACTTGTCAGTGACTTCATGGATTTCTGTGATGTTTTGGTTTGGCCGCCGCTATCTTTCGCCCAACCTATTTCTACACCGCAAAATATAGCTCGTCGCGGCAGTCGGTGGTTAGGCATACGCAACACATGTCCCAACCACCTAAAGTGATGGAGTTTCAATATTTCATCTATTGACCTGCCATTACTCTCACCAAACAACCGTTTCCTAATAACAGCATTGCTCACTCGGGTGTCCCAGGATATACGAGCAATTCTTCGAAGACACTTATGATCGAAAACCAGTAAACTATGAGTATCTTCTACTCTGACTGGCCATGTTTCACAGCCATTAATGACAAAAATATTGCTAGTCACAGATGAGCGATTACATTTGGAAAATATCACTGTCCAACCTTAGAAACAAACCTATTATACAACAGGCCTAGTCTATGGTTGTGAAGGAGTTTCGTTCTGTGTGCTGGATGTTTTAGTTCTGTAAAGCCTTCGTTGTTTTGCTGAACAACATCATCAGTAGCACAAGCTTCAGATAGAAGTGAAGCAGCCAGCTCAGAGAACAGAACTCCAGCACAATTCTCTCTACCATCTCAGCAGTGTACATCCACGACTCATGATACTTGCAAGATTCTAACGCTGGCCCGAAGCGTGCAAACGCTTAATCTACATACCAGAGAGTTGATATTCAACGGTTTTAATGTCTAACTTTGATCAATCTAAGGTTTTGATCAACCTCACCCATTGTCCTCGCTGGGTAACTAACTGACTTACAGGGTTGAAGTTCACTGGTCACATCTTCTCACTAAAACTCCGAGAATTTCCTTACGACGGTAGTCATTAGTGAGTACATTTTATGATTTTTCATTACAGAGTTATGGAAATTGTTTTTTTCTTTCAATGAAATTAAAAATTAGTTTATTGTTAGACCACCTTTAGAAGCCTGAAAGCACTGGGGCCGTCTCTTCCTGAAATGAGACTCCTCAACAGACAGATAGACAGATACAACGCAGATATTCATACGTAAGTGTACATCAGTTCAGGTTGCCATGCCCCATCAGCACAGAGACGCAACTGTCAGTTCAAATCCAATAGTGATAGCAATAATATAAGTATTAGCAGTAATGGAGAAGATAAGGGAGCGAAGATATGATTCGAGAAGTATAATTCAGTAAGATAAATTTAGAAGGAGAAAGGTAGAGATGATGAGGAATTCAGAAGGTTAGAATTAGAGAGAACACAAAGAGTGGATGCACCCGCACCATCGCAAACGATTCTGAGCCATGTCATTCAAGTTGACTATCGTCTCGCGGACCCCAACCAGGTAGTCTACATCTCCCAAAATGACTCAGTCTACTTGTCAGTGACTTCATGCATTTCTACCATGTTCTGGTTTGGCCGCCCCTAGCTTTCTTCCAACCTACTCCTACACTGCAAAACATAGCTCGTCACGGCAGTCGGTGGTTAGGCATTCGTAACACATGTCCCAACCACCTCAACTGATGAAGTTTCACTGCTTCATCTATTGATTTTCCATCCTTACCTAAAACTCGTTTTATAACGACAGCATTGTTTATACGGTCGTCCCAGGATACACGAGCAATGCTTCGGAGACATAGATGACCGAAGACTAGCAACCTACGGAAGTCCTTTACTCTTAACGGCCAAGTCTCGCATCCGTATACTAGGACGGAGCGAACTGCTGCACAGTACACTCGTCCTTTGGTTAGCAAACGGATATCTCGCCTGTGCCATAAGTGACGCAGGTTGGCAAAAGCCAATCGAGCCTTCTGTATCCGAGCATGAGATTTCGTCAGTCACCAGGCCATCAGCACTGATGAGACTCCCCAGATAAGTGAAGCGATCAACACGTTCGACTACTTCACTCCCTGCCACTAGTTCAGGTGCCGATGGAACAATGTTGAGGTGTCTTCCAGTAGATTCAGATTAATTCTAATGGTGGTCTAATAATGATTCATTTTATGATTTCAATCTAATTTCATGAAAATAACATGAAAATTCCTTTTGTTTTGTTAACCTGACAGAATTTCACTTACCGTAATTAATCCTTCAATTAAATCCGCCGTAATTGGATCATTGGTTCGACTTAATGGTTTCATTATTTGATCAACAAATACATTAGAACTACAGATCAAATTAATGGCTTTTTGTAAATCTTTTGCTATTGGTAATGGGCTACGAACACGTGCAGAATTCAAAATTGCAATAACCTAAAAAAACCAATGACAACAACACATTTAATACAATTAGTCTGTTTTTTAGAGATTTTGATAGAAAAATGAGATGTAATTGGTATGCAAAATGTGATATATTTGCGCTATACACTTACAGGTTTATGTATGCACACATATATATAAAGGGAGGAGTCATCGGAGTTCGCGATCAAGCGATACGGGACATGTACCTAAGTGGCTTCGAAATCAGTGAACACGTCAGATGATCGGATAAACAATGGGAAATAGAAAACCATGTGCATCGATCGCCAAACACATCAATGAAACAGGGTATAAGATCGACATCAAGACGGCCTTCAAAACATTGTATTGAAATGTTGAAGGACAAATTTTGAGGTTTATGGAGGCCTTAGCTATTCTAAGATTAAAACCCCTCTTATGTGAACAGAAAGTTTGTAATAACCTTGATTTTACACCGGTAATCTTGAAGCCGTTGTATGACCTAGGGAGTAATGTGACAATATCCTACCCTTTCTTATTCTTTCTATATTACGTTAATTTTCTCTCTCCTTCATTGATAATGATCATCTTATGACTATTTTAACTTTTATTTAATTGATCTTTTATTGATTTTCATATAAAATGCCTTGATAAGCGTTTATGCAAGTGAACAGATTGTTCGAAATGTATATATCGCAAACACATCACAACATTTTTCACATCAGATTACGTCGTCTGATTGTTCTGTCAAAACAGCAAAAAAAAGGAAGAAGTAAATCAGATCACTGAACATTGGAATTTCTAGTTAAATTTAATGAATATTTGATTAAAGCTTTTACAAAGAATTATATAAATCGAATTGGAAAAATGCTGGTCAGCGGCCTGTGCTACTTTAATGGTGACACAGTTTTCAAACCACGAACTGATCAATGTTAGGCGAACCATTAGAAACCTGGGAGCACTGGACGGCCGTATCGTCCTGGTATGGGACTCATCAGCAGTGCGCATCCAAGACTGCCGCACGCCGCAGAATTCGAACCCAGGACCTTCGGTATTGTACGCGAACGGCTAACCCCTGGACCACAGAGCCGGTATCTAACGGTGTTGATGTCTAACTTCGATCAATTCACGGAGTTGCGCAACCTAATACACAGTATTCCGTAGTTACTGTCTACACTCGAAGAGGTTGAACTTCACTGGTCACGTCTTCCCACTAGAACTCGGAGAAGATTCCTCACGGGGCTGGTCACTAATTAGTATAGGTAATTGTATTATAGGTTTCCAAACTATAGAATAAGACATGTTGCCGAGCGTAAAACGAAAGCATCCAAGCAGGAAGTGGTGATAATATCCAAGGATAGCTTGATGTTGATGTAATCTGCCGACACAAATCCATCAGCTAACTTTCATCAGTTCTATGCAGTTCGTCTGTTTTTTCACGTTTACGAGCATCGACTAACGAAATGCCAACATTTTGTAAACGTTATTTTTAGCAATAAAACATACTACTTTGATATTAAACAGTAGTTTGTAATATCACTAAACATTTACAAAGCAATTTTTGTGTGTTTAATTGGTTGGAACTAATGAGTTTATCATTTTTTAATAGCAAATTCAGTGCTGTTTGATTTAATGACTTACTAAATCTTCCACTGTAAATGTTTGTAACGTATATATAATGAATTTTACTAATTTAAAGGATAAGTTACGAAGGAAATGAAAGCATGAAACATTGTAGATATCATCAAACTATTATCATCACAAAACAAGCCCTAACTTCGAATCCTCAGAATTAAAAGAATAAGCGGGAATGAATTTCACAAGTGACAAATGCTTTTTAAAAGATTCATAAATACTTTTGATGTCTTATTATTCCAAATTCGTAGTGAAAATTCACTGACAAGCAAGTAGATAAACAAGCATGCCGAAAAAGTATTATTTTTAAGTTATTTAATTAAAATTTGCAGTAATGTGAATATGCGTAATGAAAAACTTATTGACAGAAAGTTTTCTACTCCACTCGTCTGGTAATTTCTATCTTTCTCACGATATACATATTTGAAGCCAGTAAAGCTGATTTGTGAAGAGTATACTTTTTTCACAGTTGAAATGACAAACTGATTTCAGCTAGACCATCAGTGAAAACTTGAAATCACAAGATGAGAACTTCATCCTCATGCGGAACTCATCAGCAATGTGCACCTTTGACCCTGAACTCAGGAGTCAAACCAAAGACCTTCAGTTTTTGTGCATGAGCGCTTGCTTATTCTCCGAACCATCAAACCAACCAAATTCAAGAACTGTTCTATTATCCTGGAAACGCAGAGTGTGTTTGAAAATTCACTGAAGATCTTTGTAGTGAATGATATTTTGATTTCGTTTTCAGCATCTTTTTCGTCGAATGTGCTTTATTTATTGCACATTTTCATTAAGAGTGACCAGGTCCGTGAGGAATCTTTTCCGAGTTCTAGTAGGAAGCAGTGATCAATGAAGTTCAACCTGTTCGGGTGCAGACAGCAACTACAGAAGACTGTGTATCATTAGGTTGAGAAACGCCGTGAATTCGTCGAAGTTAGACATTAACAGCGTTAGATTTAGGCTCAGTGGTTCAGGGGTTAGGCGTTCGCGCACAAAACAAGCCCTAACTTCGAATCCTCAGAATTAAAAGAATAAGCGGGCAGAAAACCAAGAGAACAGTATTGCACTCACAATCGGAAGTCATAATCAAAAGAATGAGTAGCACTTAGAATGGTAAGTCCAATTATGAAGTAGGTTAGATATCTCTGACCAGCAGCAGCCTATTATGCTCCACAAGAGATAACAGACGTATACAAGTAAGCAAGTAATCTGTATTGAAATTTAAAAGATTTATCATATAAACTCACTTTACACATTGGTGATGAGAAATCAGGACATCTAGAATGTAATAACGCACTCAAACTACTAATGTTGTTTGTATCTATAGAAATTAAAAGGAGGAAATAGGAAAATAAAGAGACAGTTTCTTAAAAAGATTATACAAAGTACAAAAGCAAGCAAAAAAAGTTTAAAGATATGAGTAAAACTTAATGGTAGTAATCATTTTCATTGTAGAGTTATGGAGATTGTTGTGTTTTATGGAAATAGTCAATTGATCATTGTTAGAGCACCATTAGAAATCTAGAAGCACTGGATAGCCGTTTTATTCTAGTATGGGACTGACTCATTAGCAATGCGCTTCCATCAGCCCAGCAAGTTGGAATGGAGTTCAGTGTTGATGGGTGTATGAGTTTACCTACCGAATATAAAGGGTGAGGTTGTGCCTTACCTTGGATTGGTTCAAATTCTACATTAACACCATTGGATGCTAGTTCAATGGGTCAAGAGATGAAGTATTCGCACACGAGAATGATAGTTCTGAGTTGAGTTTATGCTCGCAGAGTCGTAGACATGATTTGCTGATGAATCGTATCCTAAGACGAAATGGCCGTTCAATGCATCCCAGGTTTCAATCGATGGTCTAACATTGATCAAATCACTGGGATAATAATCATAATAAATTTATGGATATCATTCTCTTCAAATATCTTTAATCAATCTCACTAGAATTTATCTAAACTAGTTCATATGTTCAGAGTAAGTTTTCTTTACAAATGGATACTTATTATAAAATAATCATTTAAAAATCACTGTCTAATAAATACAACATTGAGGAATACACACAACTGAGTAACAAGACAAACTCTCACATGGAATCCTAAAAAGCAGAAACAAAGCGGGAACACTAAAAGACACGTTATCCTAAGAATCACAGATAGATATGAGAAGAATGAACAGAGATTGGGTGGAACTAGAAACGAACATCCAAGACAGAGTAGGTTGAAGAATGTTAGTCTGAGGTTAACAGGATTAAGTAAGTGTTAAATATGGCTTGATGTTTATTTGAATTTTTGCCGGATTGTATCCAGAATTGTTAAACTCTGCAGTGAGTACGTTACTATTTAATTAGCCTTTCAGAATTTTACGATACATATGTTTTGATAACATACATTTCACTATATATATATATATACATAACAGTTGTCTACGCAAAATACTTCGGATTCGTTGGCCAGACACCATCAACAACAACGTACTGTGGGAGAGAACAAACCAGATTCCAGTGGAGGAGTAAATAAGGAAGAAGCGGTGAAGTGGATAGGACATACACTACGAAAAGCACCCAACTGTGTCACTTGACAAGCCCTCACATGGAACCCTCAAGGCAAAAGGAAAAGAGGAAGGCCAAAGAACACACTACACCGAGAAATAGAGAAAGATATGAGAGGAATGAACAAACATTGGACAGAACTGGAGACGGAAGCCCATGACAGAGTTGATTGGAGAAAACTGGTGGGCGGCCTATACTCCATTGGGGGTGACAGACAAAAGTAAATAAGTATACATATATACATAATTTCTTACTGAAATTTAGGTTTGGTTAGAATGTTGGATGAACACTTTCATTTTAACTCAATCAGATTCCTTCACACTTACAGACCATATGCCGTTTTACTTATAAACCCAGAGTAGGTAGGAAATGAAAGGAATCGACAGAAAACCATGGATCTAGGTATCTTTGCTAATGAGCAGCCGTTAGTTATGAGTTCCTGTAAACTTGAGTGGCTGTATCATCCTATTATTGGACTCATCAGCAGGCGCGTTTCCACCCTTTGCGACCAAGAATCCAACTCAATAATCTTCACATCCCTATACTTACAGTGCTGAGAAAACTAACTGATGAACCAGTGGAGGATTTGATTCTGTGTATCACCTAATCTCTTAGTTAGAAATGTTATTATTAAAGTTGTTCAGTCACAACAATGGACCTCCTGTAGCGAACTAGGATTAACTTTATAATCAATAATTCGTCTTAGTATGCGACCCATTAGCAGTGCACATCAACGACTACTGCCACTCGCAGGATTTGAACCCAGAACCTTCGATCTTGCGCGAGAACGCTTAACCTCTAGAACACTCAGCTAGCATCCAATGTCTAACTCTTATCCACCTAAGGATTTTGAGCAACTTCACCCATTGTCTGTCTCAGTTAGTTAATGACTACACCCAACTGGGGTTGAACTCCATAGGTCATGAAGGTAGTCACTAGTGAGCACATTGTAGTATTATGGAAATGGTAGATTTACCTTGTGTTGGGGATGTTACATAAACCCAGAACTTGCTTGATAAATATCTTGATTTTGGATTTATTTCATGGACCGATCAGCTGACCTTGAGATCACATTTCTCACCAGGAGAATCCTTGGCTGTGATTGGATACTGTGTTACTTTAGTGTGCTAGGACGTCTCTACACAGTATAAATAAATGCAATTTGAAAGCTTGGTTTCATTGTAAGCTGGCTGGGTGTTTGTAGAATACACTTTCTACTCTATATCAAGACTTCTTACTGATACAATTTGGTCAAGGGATCAGAGTAGCCTACCTGGATGATGGTTCATTGGTTTGTTCTCGTTATTCGACTAAGGTGAACTCGTGTAATAGTTTAAGTATACCTAGAGACGAGCGTGACACATTGAAATCATGAATCGATCCAGTGCTTCCAGGTTTATTCTAATGGTGGTCTAATAATGATTAATTCATGATTTCAAATGTATCACACTACCATCTTCATAATCCTCAAAATGAAAAAACACTTCCTACTACTACTACTACTACTACTGTGGTGCGAGCTACTTATAAGTAGTATATGACGTGAGTGTCAACGTGATGTCTGGCAGCAGAAGATGGGGGAAGTTCAAGAAAGGAAGAGTTAGAACACAATGGAATTTGTATGAAACGCATTAATGGTGACATTGGATTGATGTTTTGTATCAGGAACAGTCCAGTTCGAGATGATGGATTGAAGATTTGCAAATTAACCGTTTACGATATGGTTTTCCTATTTTACTGAGTAACTCTGTAATTTTCGCTAAATACAATTCGGTTGCCCTCACCTGTGTTCTCCTTCACTACACTACTACTATAAAAAAATATATATATAAATATTTATATAAAATCTTAGCAATATTGTATGTATTATAGTTTTTAATTCATTTACTTTTCATTTGTACAATGTTTCTTTTGTTTTAATCAATCAATTTGTTTGTTTAAATAAGCGAGCGCCTAATTTTTTTCCTCTCTCTCTCTCATAAATCTCTTATTTTTTTTCAAATCACACTGTTTATCAAATGTAGAGACAGTTAACTTCAACATGAAATGTTTTTCTGTCCTAATTTCCATTTTTTTTTATAAAAAAAACAGTCTAAAAATAAGATTTATTAAACAGAATCAGGACATAATAAATGTTCAATCGTTCTTCCAATTTTTTTGTTATATCTCGTTTGTTTTAATTTGCTAAATCAAAAAGTTAAACAAACAAACAAACAAACGAAAAAAAAAACACGAATTTTGAATTTTGAAATTTCAATGTGTTCAATGTGTACATTATTATTATTTATTGTTCATTGAATGTACATGATTCAATCATGTATTACTTTTTTTTCATTAGTTACATATAGAAATGATTGAGATACCTTGGAGGAAGTTAAAACCTTTACATATATTTTGGGGCAGAGTTTTGGAAGTTTGCGTTTTTACACATTTGAAATCATTTATCAACCAGTCATTGTTAGACCACCATTAGAAACCTGGAAGCACTGGACGATGGCCATTTCGTCCTGGTATGGGACTCCTCAGCAGTGCGCATCCACGACTCCTGCACCTCGCAAGATTCGAATCCCGGACCTTCAGAATTGTAGGCGAACGCCTTACCATCACACCACTGGGCCGGCATCCAACGGTATTAATGTCTAACTCTGATTGATCTAGGGATTTTGCGCGACCTCAACCGTTTGTCTTTGGTAGTTACTGCCTACACCCGACAGGGTTGAACTCCATTGGTCACGTCTTCTCAATTAGAACTCTGACAATTTCCTCAGTCACTGGTGAGCACTGTTACGATATTTTGCGGCAGAGTTTATATATATGAACAGCTACATTCATAAACAAATTACATCTGATGTAGTTGTGAAGGCAAAGATTGACAGAAGAAATAGGAGCATTTATTTAATTGAATAACATGTAGAATTCAAAACAACTATCAACAAACACTGAAGTCAGAATTTTCAATACAAATGTCAAATCAGATTGACTGTATGTGGCGGGAGCTTGAAGAAACACGGAGGTCATTATCTGGAAGATAAAAATGTTCACTTATAGTTGTCTACCTCAGATACATTGGATCTGTTGGCCAGATACCATCAGCAACAATCTACTGTGGAGGAGAATAAACTACATTCCATCTGAGGAAGGAATCAAGAAGAAGCTCTGATGGTGGATAGGACAGACATTTAGGAAATCATCCAACTGCATCATAAAACAATCTCTCATTCAGAATCTTCAAGGTCATTTGGTAGCAAAAACTTGTACATAATATTTATTGAATAACTGGTGAGATGTAAAAGTTTTCAGGAAAAATATCATGATAACTTGTATTAAAAAAATTCATTATTTTTATCCTTTTAGCCAGAGCAAATCTACTTTTCAATAAAGAAAATCATGAGTAATCTCATTGAAATCATGAATCGATCATTTTTAGATAAGAATTTAAAACCTGGAAGCACTACAGGGCTGTTTCGTCCTAGTATAGTAGGATTCATCAGAAGTGCATATCAACGACACATGCACTCCAGAATCAAACCCAGGAACTTTGTACGTGAGAGCTTACTCTCAAGACTATATATTGAGCCGGCATCCATTGGTTGTTAATATCTTTGCATAACCTGACCCATTGTCTTTGGTAGGTAACTTCCTCATCACACACGACAAAGTTGAACTCCACTGCTTACGGCTTCTCATTTTAAATTCAGAGAATTTCCTCATGAAGCTAGTTACGTTAGGTTCGATTCCAGCGAGCGAAGCTCGTGGATGCACACTGCTGA